GCAGACTTTAAGACTTATATCCCTGCATGCACGGGTCTGATCAGTAGCAGAGGCAACTGATCAGCATATAGAAAACTAGACGTGACGGAGCCTTGGATCTTTCTCAGTAATACGAAGTAGGAGTGGGTGTAATTAGGAAATAATTACTTTAGGGTTTTTTTACTTCTCTTTTAGATAGAAGAACATAGGATTTGTGTCTGTGTGAGAAAGCGCCCTCTCAATAAACAAGGTGAGCGCACTGACAAAGCAGCTTTGTCTTGGAGCAGTCTGACATTGCTTATTCTTGTTAATCTTGAGTTCTTTTCTGTCAACAGAGCTTCTGAAAAAGGAATGTGATGTGATTACCGTTCCCAGCAAGTGCGTCCTGCTGGTGCATGAGCCAAAGCAGAAAGTGGACCTCACAAAATACCTCGAAACCCAAGCATTTAGATTTGACTTCTCATTTGATGAAGCCTCATCTAATGAAATGGTGTACAGGTAATGCTTTCTTCTCGTTGGGAACGGCTTTGAAGATAACAGCATGGAGCTGTGGCTGATGGCATCCTGGCCACCTGAAATAAAAAATCAAATCCTTTTGGAGGAAACCAAAGGACTGAAAAGTCTAAAGCTTATTTTTGGCATGGCCTTGCTTATTTCCTAGGGATTTGCTTTACATATATATGTATGGGGATAGAACAAGGGGAAATGGCACCAAGCTGTGCCAAGGGAGGTTCAGGTCAGAGATAAGGAGGAAGTTCTTTACTGAGAGGGTCGTCAGAAGCTGGCACAGGCTGCCCAGGGAGGTGGTGGAGTCACCATCCCTGGATGTATTTAAAGAGCGGGTAGATGAGGTACTTAAGGATATGGTTTAGGGGGTAGACAGGAGCGGTTGGACATGATGATCTCAGAGGGCTTTTCCAACCGAGCCATTCTGTGATTCTGTGTGTATATTTTATTTTAGGAAAATTAATGAATCAGGGTGTGAAATATTTGTCCTAACTGTCTCTTGCCTTCTGCATTTCCAGGTTCACTGCTAGACCTCTTGTAGAGACCATCTTTGAGGGCGGGCAAGCAACTTGCTTTGCGTACGGTCAGACAGGCAGTGGCAAGACACATGTAAGTCTTTCCCCAAGGTCTGATACTTTCTAGCTTTATCTAAAGTATTTTAAAGCTCCTTGATGTTGATAATGACTAGGATTGTATAAGGAGTTTGGATCTTGGTTTTATTGTCTTAAATCTAATACTCTTTCAGCTGTTTATCCTCTTTTCCCCATAGTTTTAATTATTAGTGGGTTTCTTTTGAGGTTGTGAGGAAAACTGTACTAAAATCACCCCACAGCTGGCTTTGTAAAGACTTAGGATGTCCTGACAGGTTGGTCGTGGCTATTTCTTGCCTCAGATGGCTGTTGCTGCCTAACTCCAGTCTGCAAAGTGGAGCTCTTGGCCCACATCTGAGACAAAGGCTATTGTCTGTGTTCTGTATTTTATTGTTTGCGTTTGTGTTTTTGTATATTGTCTTATTGTCTGTGTTTTGAGCTTGGAGGCATTCTGAAGGCTTCAGTGAGGATACAACAATAAGCCTTTTGTTGCACATAAACATTTTAAGTGAGCTGGTATTGTTTATGAAGGGACCAAATGAGTGTGTTCACTTTCTGAGCGCTCCTTCCAGTCTAACTACTGCACTTTCAAGAGACCTGAAGACTGTTTCCTGCCTCAAGAGTGATCTGCTCTAAATTCTCAACAACTGGGTTGGCTTTTGAACCTTATTCTCCTGGAAGCTATAGGGAAGGAAAGTGGGAAACTCTCTTCCCTCACAGTGTGGTGGTGGAGTCAAATCTGCTGTCGTCTTTTGCTAGAAGCCTTTACCCCAAGTCACAGTGATCTGGACTAGGCTATGCTAGCCTGCCAGTTTGAGTAATTGAACAGTTGCTGTAACTTCAGTGTTGGAGACAAGTTTTAGGCTACAATCTTCTGTCACAGAATCATAGAACATGAGGAGCTGGAAGGGCCCTGCAAAGCTGATCCAGTGCAACCCCTGCCACAGCAGGATCACCAGAGCAGTCACACAGGAACACGGCCAGGGCTTTGGGTGTCTCCACACAAGGACACTCCACAACCTCTCTGGGCAGCCTGGGCCATGCTCCATAACCCTCACACTCACAAAGTTTCTCCTCCTCTTCAGCTTGAACCTCCTGTGCTCCAGCTTGGGACCATTGCCCCTTGTCCTGCCATTGGACATCCCAGAGCAGAGTCATCTTTCCTTCCCTTCAAGGATTTCTGCATGGTGTCTACTGGTCTCTCTGCCCTCCAACCACCCCTTCTCATCCACCCCAGGATGGCGTTGGCCTTCTTGGCTCAAGGGCACATTGCTGGCTCATGGGCATTGCTGCCACCAACACCCCAGGTCCTTTTTTGAACTTTGCAGATTTCAATTTCTTCTGTTCTGATAGGGAAGCAGCAAACTCATGTTACCCTGTGTTCTAATAATCTCACTGACATCAAAACACACACACATATACTTATAATATATGATCCTAGAACTGAAATCAGGTTGCCTGGTTCTTTTTGTACCACACCTCATCTCTGGCCTTCTCTCTTCACAGACCATGGGTGGAGACTTCTCTGGAAGAGCACAGAATGCCTCAAAGGGCATATATGCTTTTGCATGTAAGTTGATTTTACTTTAGATACGAAAATCAAAGTAGTGCTTGTTTTTCTTAGATAAGATCTGGTTTTGCATGGTTATTTAAAATCTTTCCAGTAAAAGATACACACGGTGTTTGTGTTTGCAGTAATAAGCAGTGGTGTTTGTTGCAGGAGGTATGATTGTTTTCAGTTCCACAACATATTTTCCATCTAGCCTTTTAAGTTCCTAGATCCACCCTTAGCTTACCAGATCTTTGGTGCTGAGGCAAAGAGATGCCATATTTTCTAGTTTGCCATTTGCTGGACTGAACAATTAAATTTTGGTTCTTCTACTTGGTTTTCATCCCAGACTTTCATCCTTAGATGGTGTTTGGAAATGCCTGGTTTGAATGCAACACAACCCTAACCATTTCTAGTATAAAGCTTGTTATACAGAAAGCCTATGAACATATACTGTGTTTCTTGTAAGCATTAGATGCAAAAAACCCTAGCACATACAAAATGTTATCAGAAAATGGATTCTTAGAAGCCTGTCCTCGATCTAATTCCTAGAAAGCACCATGTCCTCTACCTTCCCTTGAGAAAGGCATTTAGTGAAACTATTCCATGTGGTGAGGCAGTTGAAACAAGAGCAACTCTTTGACACTCTGAAAATCAGTTATGACTGGCCCTGAAGGAAAGTCTTTGCTTCTCAGCTCAAAGTCTGAAGCCTAATTGTGAAAAATTGCCCTGGACCCAACCAAAGACTAATATAATATACTGATCTGATACACGCATGACATAATACATCATTTTCTCCCAAACAGCAGCAATGCAGATGCTCAGGGGTGGATGTTTTCTAGGCTTTTCCACAAGAAGAGATTGAAACAGATCCATGACTCTGTCAGGGATCCCCGAGTTCCCCCAGCCCAGTAAGGGTTGCTGTCTGTGGGTGACATTAGCAGTAGAAACCTCTGTATCCCCCCTGTCTTCAGCAGCTGGATAAGGATGCTGTGGAAGCTGTTCTCCAGATGGTAGCACAGCACTAATTGTTTCACTAGCATTTGTTTCGATGGCTGTCATTCAGCTGCTGGACACTGCCTTATGGCCACACAATACTTGGGAGTAGATCAAGCAGCAGCTAGAACGAGTTTTAAACCAGTTAACTAAACTCCTGCCTTTCCTCACTAGCACAAGACGTCTTCCTCCTCCTAGAGCAGCCCAGGTACAGGAATCAGGACCTGGAAGTCTATGTGACTTTCTTTGAAATATACAATGAAAAGGTAAGACTTTTTAATTTAATCTTGACCTGACTTTTCTGGTCAAGTATTTAATAAGTAGCTGAGTGAATCTTACTCATTTCTTACTACTTTCTTACTATTTCTTCACTTAAAGGTGCTGTTTCTATCCAGCTTTCTATAAAGACAGTGCAAAATACTTACAAAGAGACTATGTTCAGATTTGCCTCAATTTTGTTGCCTGAATATAGGTGTTCGACCTCTTGAATAAGAAGACAAAGCTTCGAGTCCTGGAGGATGGCAAGCAGCAGGTCCAGGTTGTTGGTCTCCAAGAGATACAAGTCAGCTCCGCTGAGGATGTCATCAGGATGATTGAGATGGGCAGTGCCTGCAGGTTAGACGCTTTAAAACTAGTAAGAGCCAAGTCCCATTGTGCCTCCACATCTACAAAAAATGTCTGCAGCTGCTGCTTTGAGACTTACTGGGAACGACAAGCTCCCGTTTAATAGGCAGGCACTGAGCAGTACCTCTGCATGAACACAAGAAGGTGGTTACAGAATAAAGGACTAGCAGGGATGTGTTTAGCCTGCCTTCCATAGGGAAGGTCAGAGCTCATGGTTCACGTGTCCTCGCGTAACTCTAAGAAACTAACTGCATAAGGAGATGGCTGCCCTGGTGCTACAGCTAAACTGAGCAGTCTAGCTGCTTTCTAAGAAGCATCAGCTAGTTTACAGGAGCACAAGTAGCTCCCTGTGGGCTTGTAAGATGAAGGAAGAGCAGCTGGCATCAACCTACAGCTGCAAAACTGCTTTGGCTTAACTGGAGGCCAAATGAGCTATTCCAATGGCAACAAAAACGCTGCATGTTGCTCGGGGATCTTGTCTAAAGAATCCTTGAGAGCAGGCGCCAAGGGACAGCCGTAGGCTTGGCTCATCCTGGCAGGAAGGCCATGTCAGGGCAACTCTACCATCATACTGGTGTCTTTAATCAGAGCTAAAATCTGTATTACCAAGTCTTATCTGTCTCGGTGAAGTTGCAGCTGCTGTGGAAACATTACTAGGCAAATGAGAGCTCCTTGGCTTCTGTATTGCGCTGCATATGCAGACAGGCACAGCCTGAAAGCTCATTTAGCACCGTGCTGTGCATGCTTTTTTGGTTGACGGTTCAGCCAAGAACTGTTTAACATTTCAGACTCTGACCCTTTCGCCCAGCAGTAGGGACACAGGTGGGACAGTGAACCTGCCAGCCTTCTCAGGGAATAAATGACAGTGAAGGTCACAGGGAGGTTTCTGGTAACTTATAAGACTCCAATCTGTGTCTTGCAGTGATGGGGCAGGTGCAGTCACACAGCAGCACTGAAGTGCCAAGCCAGTTTGGCTGGAGAAAGGGATTTACCATGACTGTAACGTGCTAGCACAGCTTGGCTGAGCTTACTCTGTGCATTAGGAGAATGGCAAGTGGGCTGCTCTGAGGCAGGGAGATGCAGAGCTGGAGTCTTCCAGCTCCAAATGCATGTGAGGCATCAGCAGTCAGGCATGCCTGTGTAGGCTGAGCTGATCCAGGCAGGTTAAATAGCCTTAAATTTCTACAGCTGGGGTGCAGGTTCCTATTTCTCACAGCAGTCCTGTGCTGTTTTGTCAGAAGTAATTCCACAATTCATGCAAACTTGAGATATCAATGTATGGGATGATACTGGGGAGGTTAAACAACCTAACTGGATGGCTGCAGGTCTTGTCGAGTGCTGCTGGGACCTGTTGCATCTCCTGTGACAGTCCTAACGCTCGTTTTCACCCTTGCTGTAGGACATCTGGGCAGACTTTTGCAAACGCCAGCTCTTCACGCTCACATGCCTGCTTCCAAATCGTGCTACGCCGAAGAGGGAAACTGCTTGGCAAATTTTCCTTGGTGGATCTGGCAGGAAACGAGAGGGGTGCAGACACATCCAGTGCGGATCGGCAGACACGAATGGAAGGTGCAGAAATCAATAAGAGCTTGCTGGCTTTGAAGGTGAGCTATAGCTCCAGGAGCAAATGGTGCTAATCAGCACGTGGATTGTGTTCAATGCTGGGGTGGTTTGTTCTGTTTCTTTCCGGTGCAAGGCAAAAGAAGAGCCAAAAAGGTCCTAGTTGAGTGTGTTAATCCTGAAAATGCTGTCTGCTTCCACTTAAAATGTTTCCAGGAAAGCAGTACAGTCTTGTCAGGCCAGACACTGGTACAGCCATTTCCAGCTTCATTCAAGTTGTCTTTTTTTACATATGATGGGATATAACAGCAGTCCTGTGACAGTCAAATACCTGGAGTATATTTAAAAGGCTCTGAAGTACTTACAGGGGAATAGAGTTGACCATTTGCCAGCCTGTTGGGCTTAGCAGCACTTGGTGGTTGGCAGCTTGGAGAGCCCTTTGAGAAGAGGTGCAGATATTGCATTCACAAAACTTGTCTTTCCTAAGGAATGTATCCGAGCTCTAGGGCAGAACAAATCCCATACCCCTTTCCGGGAAAGCAAGCTGACCCAGGTGCTAAGAGACTCCTTCATAGGAACAAACTCGAGGACGTGTATGGTGAGTATGCACGTGGTTCAAACATACACGCCACTTGCATTTGACCAAATAGCTGCACGCTCTTCTAGAGTGAGGGGACTTTGAGGTCAGAAGGCTTCAGTTCTCTGCAAAAGTCATAGTTTTCCTCCTCCATTCATCCATGGTGACAGATAAACTGGTGAGCTTTGCCCAGCCCCACTGAGGCAGGGCTGCAGAAGTCACTTTGGTGCAGTGAGTCTACAGCACAGCCCGATGTGCTTGCAAAGAGCTTTGCTTCCTGTGGGGGATGCAGCACAGTGGGTGTACACAAAGCCAGTGGGAAGCTGGATACAGGGCCCCTGGCATGTCCCACAGAAGCTATGAGCTAAAATAGACTTCACTTCTGCCTCAGCTCTGAGCCTCTGCATTAACATGTCTCAGCTGAGATCTGCAGGATCATGAACATGAGCAAAAGTCAGATGTGGGAGTCACTGAGGTCTTGTGTTCTGTTTGCAGATAGCAATGATTTCTCCAGGCATGAGTTCGTGTGAGTACACCTTAAACACACTGAGATACGCTGACAGGTAATGGCCTTTCTGACCTGGGGATCCTACTCATGTTGCAGAAGGTGTTTTGGCTGCTTTTGTTCTGACTAGAAGTTCTCTTGTAGCCACTGCCTATAATGGCAACTTGGATGTTGGTTGAGAGCAAATTATCTTAGAAAACTTACCTTAGGATATTATCTTATGAAATTAACCTGAGTGTTCTCTGTGACATAAGAGATTGTACTACACTGTGACTAAGGTCTCATTTCCTCAGAGGAGGACTCTCATGCTAGACTTCAGTCTGCCCTGGTTTTTGTAGGGAGTTCACCTTGTCCTGAATGGTTACCTCCATGCCTTTTAGTTTTTATGATACTTCAGGTCCCATCTGTAAGTGGTGTGCTAAGAACGTGTCACTGACGTGGCCCTACAGATGACACACAACACTTGGTGTTCTTGATGGACTTTGATATCAGCTAATAGGATGTGGCACCTTGGAGACTTTAGGCAAAATCTGAAGGAGCTGGAGAACCCAAAGCAGATGGTGGAAGTGTTTTGAGTGCCCCTTGGGTACCTGCAGGGCAAGGTATATTTGCAGAGCTCGAGTCCCAGGTTTCCCTGGGGATTGTGCTGATACCTGGAGCCCCTAGGACAGAGCAGTGAGTGCCCCCCAGCCTCTACTTTCCATATCTCTACACCTCTTCAGTGAAGTCACAAGTGAAAAGACGACTGACTGCTGTCATATGTTAACAAGATGACACTTGCACGTTGGTAGCTTTCATTCATTTAGTTCACAAAGGGCTGCTTGGCTGCTTCCTGGAGAGCATTCCTCTCTGAAAGGATGTATGGGAATTCTTCTTGTAAGCATTCAGGAACACGGTGAATCTTGCCAGATCACTGGAGTTGGTTCTGGGTTGAAGTTGGATTTTTTTATTTTGCTGGGCAGTCATTCCTGCTCACCTGAAAGTACAGCACAAGAAACAACATCTGACTTAGCGTGCTTCAGTAAGATCCTAGTGTTGAGTTGGGCCCGTGGGGTTCTTAGCCAGTGTGCAAGGCAAGTTCAAGCTATAAGAAAGGGGGTGTTAGGCTGAAACGCACTGGAAATATGAAGCTGATGCTAGTAACTGGGATGAAATGCCCAGCTGGTACCTGACATCTCCCTCTAGTGCCACATCATCAGCCATGGATTTTATCCTTATTATAGACCTGCTCTGGGAAAAATCAACCTTATTCCTTTTCTTCCCATACTAAGTTCTCTTAGTTGGTCATGACAGACCAAGCTGATATGTGAGACACAGCTTCTGTGAAAGGCATTGCTGCAATTAGCCTGATGAACTTAGACATCTCTCTAGGAGAGGTTCTAGATTGAGCATGGAGACAAACATCTCAGCTCTTCTTCCCGCAGCCCTCTGGGATTTCTGCCCATGTCAGCTTGTTCTGGGGGTGGTAATGTCTACCTTAAGTGCAGCTGAGTATTTGGTTGCTGAGCACTGTTTGACTGCAGTATCTGTTTTGTGATGCTGTAGCCAAGAAACTGCTGCCAGGAGAGTCTGACTGACAAATCTTGTTGCAGAGTGAAAGAGCTCAGCCCTCATAATGGAGGTGGTGAAGCACAGAACCAGATGGAGACAGAGGAGACGGAGATCAGTGAGGAAGGCTCAGGTTACAATGTACGTGTGTGCAGTGGGCTGAACAGACCTCAAAGCTGGGAGCACCTTGCTGTTCTTACCTGGGCTGTTTCTTGCAGCTCTCCAAGGATGAGGAAGAAGATAACGCTCCCCACCTGTTCAGCTTCTGTGAGGGTGTGACTCAAATGAGTGAATGGGAGGAGAAGGCTGTGGAACAGCTTAGAGAACTGAGACAGGTATGTGGAAGAGGTGAGCACAGCCCAGGCTGCCTTCTATGCTGCTGGGCAGGCTGTGGGCTGTACTGCAAGATGCTGTCAGGGGGTGTTATGTTGTCCTCACTGCCAATTTTTTTCTGTGGTTTCCTGTCCAACTGGTTAAACTGGGGTATCTTGGTGCTTGTGGCCAGCTGGTCTCTCTTACCTTCCCACTAGCAACCTCTACTTGCTGCTAATGAGCACTGAGGGGTATTGGTCTGTAAAGCTCAGCTCTGTTGGTTGATGCGCCAGATGTGAGGAAACAAATTGAATTTCCAGAAAGTCAGTTTCTCATCACTGTTATCCTTGTAAATATAGAGAATGATGACTGAACTCGACTACCTCTTGGGAATCGCAGACCAACCAGCCTATGATGTCAACTCCTTTGTGAGCAGAGCTAAGCGCTTCGTAGAGGACAGCTCAAGAAACTTCCTTAGTGTTGGAGGTACGTAGCGCCTGTTTCTGACTAGCACTGTCACTAATATTTCTTCAGAGACCTGAAAGTAACAGCAGCATAGCTGTGGGGGTTTGAGCACCCAGTCCTTCTGCATAGCTTATGTTTTGGATCACTTTCCTAGGTGGTTGTAGGGGACAGATCTGAAATGTCCTATTGTCTGCACTTCCCAATGTAACATTTTGGCTAGGAACTCCCACTTGCTCTGCAGTGCCATATAAACTGCCCTCCCTTGAGCAGAATATGATACCCACCAAGAGCAGATGTCCTAAAGTGTGCTTGGTGTGTTGGTTACATAGTTTACCTGTTGTCTTGGCCAAAAACCAGTCTTTGAGAAATGGGTCCCAGTGCCACGTTCTAGGGACTCTCAGGGGTATGCCCACTGTTTCCACTCTTGTTTTCATGGATATCAGACCCTAATACCCATCCACTTGTAACAAGTGTCTGCCAGACGTATACCGAGATGCCACATCTGCACGTGCCATGCCTTTTCCTTAGTACAGGGGCAGAGGATGTCAGCTGCCTGCTCCCCGAGCACTGCCTGACTGCCTTTGGGCTATGCTGGTTGAGGGGGTGGTAGAGGGGCAGCAAGGCAGAGGTATGAGCTGGGCTGACACATGGTACCAGTGCTAGGTACACACACTGCCAAGGACAGGGGAAGCTACACTGGTAACTGCTGCTCTTCTGCCACTGTTGCACTAAGTTGGGCTCTGCTGCTTGAGCTGGTACAGCTGGCTTGGTCTTTGCCTCAAAACCAGGGCTGTGAGGGTGTTTTATTTTAATAAGGCTGAAAATCTTGGCATCAAAGTGAAGTGTAAACCTGAAGCAGTGACTTTTTTCTTAAAAAGCCTTGGCTATTCTCCCATCTCAAATGCACCTTGAGAGCTGTATCCCTCCATTCACCACAGAGGGGATAACAACAGTAAATGTCCTCCTACCCTCTCTGCTCTATGCACCAGGGAAATCTGGCCCTCTGGGACGGCTGGATTAGCGGCATCTAGTCTGAACTGCAAACTGCAGGCTTGAAACTGCTGATGAGCAGAATTGAACAAGTACAGCTGAGAAGCTTTGTGGGACCAGGCAGGATTTGATGCTGCAGCTCTCGGCCAGTTCACTCCCCTGTGTGGCCCTTTGCAGAGCCCTGCTGAGAGGGACAGCTGGGCTGGGGTGTTCAGCTTCCAGGTCAGTCACCCTGTCACCGTCTTCCTTTACAGAAACATTGGATGCCTTGGAGGCTGCTGTGCAACTGGAGGGGCAAGCCAGCAAGCAGATGAGACGGCAGAGGCCTTAGTAAACACAGCAAAACCTGGTTCACAAGCAGTCTTCCATATGTCTGTGTGTGTTTGTCAGTGGTTTGTGTATCTGCCACTTTATGCGGCAGTGTCTGCAGGACATGCATGCCTGAGAGCAGTGAATGTGGCAGCCTCTCTTTGTGGCCTAGAATTGGGGTACTCAGCAGAGTGCTAGAAACAACCCCTTCAAGCCTTGGAGAGGGGGGCCTGAGAGTCTGCTAGATGTGTCTAGCTTTGCTAGTGACAGTGGTCTCCTTCATAGAATTAGATTAATGTGTATAGTTTTCTAGTGTACATATAACCTCTCCAGGTGTGCTTGACACATTGCAAAACTGGTGCAAGTCTGGCTTTTCTAGAAAGAAAATGGACTATATGTAACTGTTAAAAAAAAAATCAGTATTTTAAGAAGTTTGATGAGAAACTTTAAGAAATCAACCTCTCTTCTACAGCACCAGCCAGTCTTTAGGGGCTGTCAGACTTTACCAAAATTGGCAAGAAAGATATTTTATAAGAGAGAATATAATTAAACCCAAGAACACTTATTTATCAAAGTCTTTATACTTGTAATGTTTATGTAAAAAATAACTCAATAAACTTTGTCTTTTAATTTTGAGATCCTCTTGAGTAAACTTGGCTAGCAAGGGAGGAGCTGGGTTAGGGGGAACCTATCCTGTGTCTGAGCAAAGTGAGTGGCTCAGCTCTTATGATATCAGCCGATTGGGAAAAGGGCCCTGTGAGGTTTTCTTGTACCACTGGAGTTTGCCTAGGCCTTGGAGATAACCCCAGGATGTTACTTCTCATTTTTTTCACATGTATTTCCCATGCTAATCTGCCATGTATATTAAAATAGCCACGTTCAGTAGCCCACCAGAACCTGAAGTGCAAAGCTGGTCAACAGCTCAGGTGCAGCAAGGTGCTGCCATGGCCCTTGTGTGCACCCTGGGTGCAGGTGGCCCTACACAACCTGTCCTCTGGGAAGGAGCAGGCAGGAGGGCAGGATGGAGGAGGACAGATGGGAGCCATTTGCTGCTGCCCTCTGTTTCCTGTTTGTTCAGCTCCCACCAGGGTTTGTCTCTGAAAGGACAAAACAGCCCTGTGAGCTCTGGATCCAGCTATGCAAACATCAGATTACAGAGGGGCCCTTCTACTGTGATTCCTTTTTCCCTTACCCTTCGCCCTGGTTTCCTGAGCTGCCTTCTTCCCCTGAAAGTAAAGGGTGTAATTCAAGTGATTGTGCTCCCAGCTCTGCACCTACCTATGGACTCCATGCTTGCCAGGTCTCTGGAGGTGTCTACTGCACTGGAGGCCAATGCTTCAGCCTGGACTGGCTCCATCTGTGTGTACCAGGTCTTAGGACTGTCCTGGAAAAGGCAGCACAAGAGTCAGGATCCCAATGGGAAGTGGGCAAGCAGCAGTGACAAACAACTGAAGGGATGCTCAGCCCAGACAGGATCCTCTCCCGCTGGGGCACTTTGTGATCAGTGGTTTAAGTACTGGAAGCAGCGTGGGGCTGAGTGCTCTAAGGGCCTCTGAACTGTCACAGCTGATAAGAAAGGGGCTGTTATGCTCCACTGAGTTTGGACTGAAGCAAGGTGGTCCTGTTCCACTTCAGATCTTACTAGGATTATCCAGCCTTGCCTAGTGGTGTCATGGGGTGAGTAAGGATGGGCCTGGGTGCAAGGAACAAAATGCTGCCCCTTGTTAATCCATCTTCATTGCTTACTCATCTGTATATCCACCCCAGGAACTGAAGTTAGGAGGGACCTGATCTGGAGGAGCTCAGGTCACCTCTTGCCTCAGTGGCCCTTCAGCTCACACTTATGGCATCGAGTTCCCACTGTCACAGAGGTACAGAAGTAGCAGTGGTCTGAGATCCCCCTTGCTCTGTTCTAGGGCTGAGTCAGAGCAATGATCCTCCTGCACACAGAGGTTGAAGGTGAACACTCCTCAAAGGATGGCTTGGTTTAATTCTGGGCTCTTGTGCCCCTACATCCCTGCAAAACAGACCAAGGTCCTAGGGCCACAATAAACCTCATAAGGGAAGTGTGTTTACCATAAAGTGCTGGAACAGCGTGTGTCCTAGGGCCTCCTTGACGTGCTCCTCCACAGAGGGAAATGTGTGGATGAAATACTGCAACAGAACAGAGAGTTGGTGTGTAGGGAAAAGGGGTAGAGGGTAGAGCTGTTGGCTGGTGTGGCTCCAGATAACCCGTGTCAAGTGCCAGTGAGTCCTTGACCCCACCTCCTTTAGCACTTCATGAACACACCAAGAGGACCTTGTGGCTCCTTGCCCTCCCCTAGTGCCAGTTCCCACCCTCGCTGACCAGAGGAGGGTGTTTCAGTGAATTATTGCAGTGCAGTAGTTGCCAAGGGGTTCATCCTGCTGTGCTGTCAGTGCCTGCTCAGAGGAAGGCTGTGCTGACCCTCTGCATTACCAGCTAGGTTTGTAACCCCATTTTTTACCTTGAGCAGCCTGGTTCACCACCACTCGTTCAGCCCTTCCCAGCACAGACCTTCCCAGGTCCTGTTACACAGGCAGAGCTGTGCTGTGGCAGGCCAAAACTCTTTACCCAGCACCAGCAGAGAACAAATAGCCTGTGTAGAATTCTGTGCTAGTGTCTTGCTCCAGGAAAGTCATCTTGCTTAGCCCCTTAGCTCTGCCTGAGCTTGCTACCCACAGCAAGCCTGGGGTAGAACAGAGGTGTGAGGGCCACCACTGGCTTCCCAGTACCCTGTGTGTGGTGGGAGGCAGACAGGAGGGGAAATAAAGCTCTCGGGTCACTCTTGCCTTAGGTGCTCTGGGAGCAGACCCCGTGCTATGATGTCCACTGCCATGTAGCCCCACGCTCACCTCCAGGGTGTCGCCAGCATGTTTCTGGCTGGCTGCATGGCCCGAGTTCCTCACAGCAGCCATCAGGCCCTGTACTGCTTTCAGCTGGATCAGCTCTTCAGCCACTTCTGCTGACTCCTTGGCTAATTGGCTGCAAGGAGAGAGGTCGTCAGCCACTGCCTCGAATGGGGGAAGAAGCACACAACAAACTGGGCCTCTTAGTGTGACCCCATTGGAAAATGACATGTTCCTACCCTGCCTTGATGGCACCAACAGAAGGGAGAGCCTCAAAATAGACAATAAAACATTTGGCTGTGCATGGATTAGCAATCATTTAATGTGGGCTTGCTGAAAACCAATTGTTTAACGATTGGCAGGAGCTTCCTGGTGTGTATTAACGTCTATCAAGTTTCTTTCGTGACCATAAAGAACCCAGGACTCGAACACTACCACCATTACTTCTGTGAGCATGTCCCTGGAGGACACTCTAGTACGTCTCCCTACCCACCGAGGGCTTTCTAGCATCTGCTTTTGCAGGAAAAGTGTTCTGCTAGCACTATCTTGTGGACACTGCAGGCAATTCCTACTGAATGAACCGATTTTATCACAAATAACTACATTTGCTTAAGGATCCTGCAGTCATCACAGGCACTGCATTCCTCCACTGGGAGGTTGATGTTAAGGGCGTTTCACTGCCGGCTGTGGCTCCCAGCTATGAGGAGAACACAGGTGGCTGTAAGCACTACGGCACCCTTCAGCCCTGTGCCGTGGCAGGACACACGCATTGCTTCCAGCCATAGAGGGGCCGCTGCGGCAGCACACAGGGCCAGAGCAGATGAGATTCCACAGCTCCCTATAAATAAAACTTCAAGCCAGCTCCAGTGTCAGCAGCTGGGAGGGCCTGAGCACTGCTACCTGCAGGCTCTGCCCCATTCCTGAACCCACCCCATTGCAGAGAAACACCAACAGGCTGCACGCCAAAGGGCTGCAGAAGCTGGGATTCCCATGGGAACATTATTAAAAGAATAAATAGCAGCTGGGATTTATACAAAGGCAATCTTTAAAAGACTAAACAATGTTATCACTAAGTATAACAGGACCTTGGACCAGCCTTCAAAAAGACACCAAGCGCAGTGTGCCTGGGTTATCTCGACCAGAACACTGGTTGAACGGTATGCGTGGTGTGTGGCAGGATATCTCTGTCTTGGAACATCTGGCCATAAACTGTGGGCAATGATGGATGGGAACGTGCTGTAATATGTGAACATCCTGATTGGCTGCATAGTTGGGTCCTTCTCTGTAGCTATAAAAGTAGAGGTAGAAAATAATTTAAACTTCACTTGCCACTCATCTGCTGAGTTGGTTTCTTGGTTCCAGCTCACCGCACCCCTTGTACAAGAGACCTGGTGGAGCTGGGAGATCAGTGCTCCCTGGGAGAAACATGTCCAGTCCTTTCCTACCCCAATGAAGCCACTTTGCTAAGATCCCTTTTATGCACTTGTGGGTTTTACTCCACTTTCTTACCCAATGACTTTTGCGGCAGCTGCCTGCTGAATATACTCGAGCGCAGGCTCCCTCGGGCAAAGTGCAGTTAGGTCTGCATGAGAAACATTAGGAAGGTGAGAACGATGCTTTGAAACACTTCTAGATGTTAAAAAGGAGGCGAGGTGGTGTTACACTGCTAGCATGAAAGAAGGATATCATTTTTGAGGAGATACGCCTCAGGGAAACCCTGCGGTGATGTATCACCCCTGCAAGGATCTGCACACTTAATGCCCACGGCAGCACAGCCACAGCTCAGAGAGCCTGGGCCACTGCAGCCTGCAGCTGGGGGAGGAAATACCTGGGGCTGGAACTGTTCTTCACTCTCAGCCAGCAGAGCTCTGGAGGCCTGCACGTTAGCACCAGTGCTGCAGGCAAGCACCACCTCAACCCGGGCAGACCTTGCTGCTGTGCCCTTCATCTCAGGGGACCTGCGCCTCCTCCCCATGGAGCCAGGGCAACGGCTGAGCCCTGCAGAAGGAGGTGAGGGAGCGTGGGAGGCCAGCGCCTTGGTCACATCTTTTACCTTTGGCCATCTCGTAGCACAAGGTCAATGCATTCTTCATGGGTGGTGTCAGGAACGCAACCAGGCCCCTCAGCAGGGCCGGCCGGATGGCGTGGGCCATG